TAGCTGGGATTGCAGGCAACCACCACTATGCCTCGCTAATTTTTGTATTTTTAGTAGAGACGCGGTTTCACCATGTTAGCCAGGCCGATCTCGAACTCCTGACCTCAGGTGATCCACCCACCTCAGCCTCCCAAAGTGCTGGGATTACAGGCGTGAGCCACTGTACCCAGCCAAATATTTTTATTAAAAAGAATAACTAAGAAAGAATAAAAGCAATACTCATGGATAGAAGAAATTTAGTCCAACAAAAATCATGGTCTTAACCTGTTTAAGAGTCTTAGAAATACATTAAATTTACGAAGTACACATCTGAAACTTCCTTTAGCATTTAACATATTTTTAAACAACTTTCTAGAGGCCATTTGACTTCCTGTCTTCTCAACCCACTCACTCTTCCACCCTTCCACCTCCTGAAATAGAGTAACTTCAATTTAATTTGATAAGTAATTATTAACATACTACATAACTATCTCCTTAGATACTTCCATAGAAAATGCAACAGAAACACTCAGTTGACTATGATTTGTATCAAGGTTTGCTTAGAAATGTAGCTTATGGACCATGATCTAGGTCAAATCAATCCTCTAAATCAAGTGAGCCTAAGTTGTTTTAAAAATTTAAAGTTTGTATCAGGAAAACCTCAACTTTTATTTTTTACACCTTTTAAGAGTACTAATTCATCATACTAACACATCATCTCTCTTAAATGACTGGGTAAACCTTGGCAGTTTAGACATGGATAAAGTAGAAGGCAAAGAGCAAAGTGGAAGGAATACACAGCTGGAATTGTAAAGCCATGCATTTTACTCGACAAACTGTCAAGTGAATTCCTCTAGGTAAGAGACTTCAAAAATACAAAAAGTGGTTTAATTTTTATAAAATTGCTCCTCTTTCAGAGAAAATCTTTCACTGGAAGCCTCATTCACTCGTTTTAAGCCTTTTCCTTATCTACAGACTAGGGCAATCTCATCCACTTTAATATGGCCTCAAACACTATGGATATAGTGATGATGCCCATATTTTTGCCTTTGGCTTGTTCTCTCCCCTAAACTGCCCACTTGTGTATACCACTGCCCACTTGACATTTCCACCTGAGTATCTCACTGGCTTTTTAATGTCATCATTATGCATGAATCTAGAATCTGACATCTGATTCTTCTCCTAGAGACCTTGTCTTGCTGAATTGCACCCGATGGCTCAAGCTCGAAATCTGGGAGTCATCCTTGACTCTTCCTTCTCCTTTATCCACAATATCAAATCACCCAGTCCTCCCTTGATTCTACTGCATATACATCTCTTAAATCCATCCAGTCTCTTCATCCCAATTCCCAGTACCTTAGTTTGGGTCAACATTATGTCTCATTGGGATATTTGCAATAACCTTTTAACAAACCTCCATACCTCCAATTCTAATTTGGTCAGTTGATCTTTACAGGTTTTTAGAGCTTACCAAAAATAAAAATAAAAATAATCTCAGGAAAAAAATTGAGTGTTATACAGTTACTAGCACAAATATTCTGCTTTTGGATGTCGTATTATTTTGGGTTTGCCATAGAAACAGAGAGATTCTAAGGAGTTGTCTCACATGATTGTGGAGACTGGTAACTCTAAACATCTGCAGGGCCGATGTCCCAACTGAAAGGCACAGAGGCTGCTTAGAACCAGGAAGAGCCAGTGCCAATTCAAAGGCTGTCAGGAAGAGTTGATGGTGGAGGCCAGGCCTTCAGGCGGATTTCTCCCTTGCTGGGGGAGGGTCAGCCCTTTGTTCTATTCAGGCCTTCTAGGGATAGGATGGTCACAAGGCACACTAGGAAGGGCAATCCGCTTTACTCAGCCCACTGATTTACATGTTGGGTTCATCCAAAAACATCCTGACTGAAAAAGTGAGAACATTATCTAAACAAATATCTAGGGATCTGTAGCCCAGTCAAGTTGAAACATAAAATTAACCATCACACATGGGGAGAGTAAATAATATGATAAGCCTGAGTATTAGTAAGTCTAGCTAGGTGGCTAGGTGTGGTGTAGACAAGCATACCAGTTTTGGTGTCAAGACTCACAGGCATATTTTATCTCAGCCTGTTTCGGTAAACAGTAATGATACTTTCCTCAAAGAACTGATATGGTTACATGAAAAAAGCTTTTTTTTTTTTTGAAACAGAGTTTTGTTCTTGTTGCCCAGGCTGGAGTACAGTGGCGCAATCTCAGCTCACTGCAACCACCACCTCCTGGGTCCAAGCGATTCTTCCGCCTCAGCCTCCGGAGAAGCTGGGATTACAGGCACCCGCCACCATGCTCGACTAATGTTTTTGTATTTTTAGTAGAGATGGGGTTTCATCATGTTGGCCAGGCTGGTCTCAAACTCCTGACCTCAGGTGATCCACCCGCCTCGGACTCCCGAAGTGCAGGGATTACAGGCGTGATCCATGCCCCACCATAAAGCTCTTAACATAGTACCTGGCACATCTTTCAAACTCAGAATTTTTGAAACGAAACACATTTTTTTTAATGTTAAGTATTTCATCTTACTGACTTTAGTCTCTTGAGGCTTTAAAAAATTTACATCAGCTGGACGCAGTGGCTAACGCCTGTAATCCCAGCACTTTGAGAGGCCGAGGCAAATGGATCACCTGAGGTCAGGGGTTCAAGAGCAGCCTGGCCAATATGGTGAAATCCCGTCTCTGCTAAAAATACAAAAATGAGCCGGACGTGCTGGCGCACACCTGTAATCCCAGCTAGTAGGGAGGCTGAGGCAGGAGAATCGCTTGAACTGGGAAGCAGAAGTTGCAGTGAGCCAAGATCACACCACTGCACTTCAGCCTAGGCAACAGAGCAAGAATTTGTCTCAAAAAAAATTTTATATCATTCCTTTGGGGTTTGCATAGGGCTGGTAATGGGCTACTTACTAAGTTAAAAACAAGTTCTTAAGTCTTTGAGAAAATACTTATGCTTTCAGCTCTTCCCCAACCTCTCCAATGAAGCAAATAGAAATATAAAAAGGTCTAACTATAAACTCCTAAAAAGTGCCCATAGAAAGCTCACTACCTGAAACCAGCAGTTGTCCTAAGTAGACCATAACTCAATAGAATTAGAAATCAGTAACATGTTTTTGCTTTTCTTACAGGGAAAGACAGATTCAGTTTTATCATGGAGTTAATCAAATAAATCTGTAGTGGAGGAAATACAATTTCTCCTCAAGCCTCACAAGCTCATAGTTGGGACAGATTCCTATAACAAAAGACAGATTAACAAGAGAAAAACAAGTCATTTTATTAATATATACAGTGTATATCACACAGGAGAAAATGAAAAGGTAAAACACAGGTAGTGGCTTAGAACTCTGGATTATATAGCATCTTCCACAAAGAATACATTTCAGAGAAGTGTGACAGACAAAGGAAAGCAGTTTTAGGCTTCCAGAGGCAGAAACTGTGGTAAGGTAAACGTATGGCAAGAAACTAACAGTAAGGTTTGTTTGCAGATTCCTCTGGTACTGTCTCAGCTGATTAGAGCCATCTTCTCATCTTGATATCAGGAAAGCATCTTTCTCAAAGAAGTCTGTATGGCTTGCTACAGGTAGGAAAGGACAGTTAAGATAGCCATTTCTGCAACTACTGTTTCTCAAGTATCTTTAGCTTGAAATAATCAGTATGCCAAATCAGCGCATTTGGGGGTGGCATGTTCAAATTTCCTTCAGATCAAAAGAACAGAAAGGTCAGAATTTGGCCCTTATACAGTAACTGCATGACAGATGTTGCACTTGAAACAATGATACTCAGAGGAACAGCTATAAATGTGCAAAAATGATTAAAACAAGATTCCAAAATCATGCCATAAAAGAAAACAAATTTCAGTTGGACGAAGCATCTAAATGTTAAAAACAAAAATTTTTTAACTTTTGGAAGGCTGAACAAGACTATTTTTATGGCATTTCCTATACAAAAACCAGAAAAAGCAAATCATTATGAAAGATTGGTAAGATTACATTAAAATTTAAAAATTCAAGATTTCATAACCAAAATATGAAGACAAACCAGACTAAAAAAGATAGTTGAAACATACATAACAGATTATTAGTATTCAAAATATGTAATATCTAAAAACAGACAAGTAAAAAAACAAAAGAGAAAAATGAGCAAAAATGCCTGTAATCCCAGTGCTTTAGGAGGTGGCGAGATGGGAGGATCGTTTGAGTCCAGGTTTAAGGTTACAGTGAGCTATGATCCTGTCACCACACTTCAGTGTGAGCAATAGAGTGAGATCTTGTCTCTTAAAAAAAAAAAAAAAAAGGAGTAAAAGATATGGCCTCAGAAATCACACACTGCACTTGCTCAATATCCTGGTAGTTACAAAAGTCAGCACTATAAAATGCAGGAGAAGGCTATACGGGGGCATGAACACCAGGAGGCCAGGGATCACTGGTGCCATCTGGAGGCTGGCTACCACATACATAAAACAATATTCTATAGCGCTTTTAAAAAATATATTTGTATTAAAAATATAAAAACACACGCTAGAATATATGCCACCTCTAGAGTTTACCTCTGGGGACTCTAGGGAGGGAGGAAGGGGACAGGATCAAAGAGGTAACAAAATGAACTTCAAATGTATCTAATATTTGCAATTACATATATATGTGTGTCTGAAGAAAATATAGCCAAATCCTGACATTTATTACATCTGCATGGTAGAAATACATGGATTTTCTTGAACTCATTTGCCTCTCCTGTATCTTTGAAATATGTCAGTAAAAAGTTTTAAGGTAATGAATCCAAAGAAATGGAAATAAAATGTGCTTTTAATAAGAATTTATTTTTACACATGTTAAAAACTGCAATTTTCAGGACATGTAAGAATATTTTTCTAATAGTGAAATAAGCATATTTCAGGACATGTAAGAATATTTTTCTAATACTGAAATAAGCATTTTGGTATAGAAATCACACCCTATGTGTGATCTTTAACTAAAAAAACTAATCAAGAACTATGACCTAATATGTTAAACAAAACTATTCTTTGCCCATCCATCTGTCCCCTCTCATAGCCCCATTGCTGGGCGTTAGAATATAGTTCTGTACATATCTCCATATCTACAAAGAATTAAGATGTCATATCAAAGATGTCCAGAAGTTATATATGGTGGAGAATTAGTTGGCTTAATCGTTGACACGCAACACAAAACACCAAAAGCAACATAATATACAAGACACAAAATAGAACACTGTCACTAAGGTCAAATAATACAAAAAAAAAAAAAATCACATCATTTAAATTTGATGCATTGCAAACAAAGTAACTTCTTTAGAATTATTATGTATACAACCTGCAAAGCTCAAAAAGTAATAGCACAGAGCCATAAATCTGATAAGGCACCTTAAAAATAGCCATCAAACATATACAAATATCAAATACAAACACGGTTAAACTGCAAAAGCAGTAACCACAGAAATAAATAGGGAAAAAATATGCATTCTTTCTAGATAGTCTCCTTTTTCTGAAGTAAAGTCTTTAAAAAAAAAAAGTACAAAAAATATTTATCATATATTTTAAAACCTATCATCAAAGTCCAAATCTCTGTAAAAAAAAAGAATGTTTTTCTTCAAGTCAATAAAGTTCAGATTCATACATTTTCTAAAGAAACAATGACAGTCTTCATGCTAAATATAGGAAGAAAAAAGCTTTTAATTATGTTTGTTAACTCTTTTATTCAACAAACATTCAGTGAGTGCTGTGTGAACCTGTTTTAGGTGCTGGGGATATAGAATAAAGACACAATCCTTAGCTGTAGACAACTTAGCCTAATGGAGCTGGATCCACCACTGGCAACCTTAAAGTTACCTCCCTCCTTGGTCCTTAAGATGAAACGCAATTTCAAACTCTGCCATGCTTAGCATCTTGTTGCAAAACAAATAATGGTCTACCTAGTTTGCTAATGGTAGCATTGTGGCTCTATTAATATTAACCATCTATTGATGAAGTTAACTTTCAAAAAGGACTCTATGAAAGTTCAGAGGCATAAAGTATTTAAGGACAAACAAGTACTGGTCCGCAACAAAAACAGCATCGGTATTCTGCTTTCACAAAAGCCAAGAAAACCAAGAAAAATTTCATTCTGAGTATATACAGAACTCCTGGACAGAGGTCATTCTATACGTGTGGTACATATACAAATATGACATAAGAAGTCTGAATGATTGCAGTCACTATTAAACAACCAAGTATGCCAAATTAGTCATCAGGTTTCAAAGAATCATAGCCTTCTTTCAAGAGGTCTCGCCATGTTTTAAGGAATCGTGCATTTTCCGTACATTTGAAGGCAAGTTCTTCCACTTGAGCTGATACTGCAGATGTGGCTTCAAGAAGTTTGGTTAATGAAAAGGCTGCCTAAAACAAACAAAAAAGAACTCAGACATAATTTTATTTTTAAAATTCTCATCTCATTTTATAAGTAGTCTAAAAAAGCTTAAGGCTTTGAATCCAATGCCCATGTTATTTTGTTTAAAAGTAATCAATTTTCAAACTAAAGCACTGGCTCTTTCAGGGAACCTAAGAAAATTATTTAATATTGAGTAGACTTTGAAGAAACAGGTCTGCTAGAAAAATATCCATTATGTCTGAGACATGACAAATCAGTATTTCTTTTTTCTTTTCTTTTTTTTTTTTTTTTTTTTTTGAGATGGAGTTTCGTTCTTGTTTCCCAGGCTGGAGCGCAATAGCGTGATCTCGGTTCACTGCAACCTCTGCCTTCCGGGTTCAAGCGATTCTCCTGCCTCAGCCTCCTAAGTAGCTGGGATTACAGGCATGCGCCACAACGCACGGCTAATTTTGTATTTTTAGTAAAAACAGGGTTTCTCCATGTTGATCAAGCTGGTCTCGAATCCTGACCTCAGTGATCCGCCCGCCTCGGCCTCCCAAAGTGCTGGGATTACAGGCGTGAGCCACAGCGCTTGGTCCAGTATTGTTGTTTTCTATGAAAATACACTGGAGTCTCAGCTCAACAAGATAACTTGGACCCCTTGACACTAAGTGCCAGAAGTATCTGAGGGATTTCATCATAAATAATTCTTAGTGCTACTTGGGTAACATGGGCACTGACCTGTGAACACTTCAAACAATGAAAATGTATAGATCAAAGAACAGAAACTCTAAGCTCTGACAAATAACATCAAAAAATCACACACAAATGCAGAAAACACTCAGCTCCTGGTGGAAAATTCACTTTTCAGCCAAACGTTTTCTTCACCGATGATACAAAATAAAACATTGTTTCTAAATAACACATTAGCACTTCATTCTACATATTTACTTGCAATCAGTTTGTTCTGCAAAAATAAAAGCTGGATAAGCACTTTAGTCATCCTTAAAAAAATACTTGCGGAAGCAATGAGATAATCTGGTTCATCCCCTAGTTTCCAATCTGCAGGAAAGGTCAGGCCACAGAACTCTCCCAGAAGGTTACACCCTACATACCTCATTCCACTTGACCCACTCAGGAGAACATAAAACTCCCCTTCCCTGTCTTCTCCCCTCCAGTGGTGTGTGAGTTAGGGTTGGGAGGTGAGATGCTAGTTTCTGGGGATTCGAGATTTAATAGAAACTATCCTAAGTATGCATTCTAGCAATCCTACAAAGGGAGGAGTCCTGAACTAAACCGTCAATGAAGCCAATCCACGTGACCTAAACCCTTCAAGCTGGGTCCAGCGCTAAGCAGACCTGGGGCAGACAATGGCGTTATCAGCTGTCCCTGGGCAAGTAGCCAACTAGAACAGCAGGCTCTAAGTCCCATGGAAAGAAATCACAGCCTGATCCTAAGCACCCACAGCCAGCCAGCAAACCCATGCAGTGAAAACTATTCTCCGATGGGAGAAGAGGCAAAGAGAGCCAGCAACAGGCAGCACAGAGCTGCGTGGCTTCGGGTTACTGCGGATGATTGAAATCAGAAGGCGAGACAAAAAGAAACCAGTAAGGGGTGGGGCGGGAGGAGGGATAACCCCTTAAGACTCCTCACCACCAAATCTAAAGGGGGAACCCTCAGAGAGGGATAGCACTTCAGCTGCTGGCATCCTCCCGGCTTCCTGCACTCACGCTCTGGGGCGCAGAAGGGCTGGTCGTCCCGGGTCGTGGGGATTGGGGGACCCCCTAGCCGCGCGAGCCCCGCCGCCGCCAGTCTTCCCAGAGGCGCCGAGGGGGGACGCGGTCCCGACACCACACTCACATCTCCGATCTGCAGCTCCACTTCCTCCAGCGGGTCCACCGTTCCGCCGCTGCTCCTGCTCGGAACTGGCCAGCCCAAACTCACTGGGCCGCCCGGGGAAGATGCTGCAGAGGCGTCTGAAGAGGAGGGAGAAGAGGGAGGCGGCGGCGGCGGCGAAGAAACCTGCAGCTCCTCAGCGTCTGCCATGGGGAAGGGCTGTGACCGCGGAATCCGGCCCGAGCAGCCGAACCGACACCAACTGTCTTTTAACCACTCGCGCCCAAAGCCGAGAGGCCCCGCCTCTTAGCGCCAGAAATCCCGCCCCGTCTCCTCGTGGGTCTCAGCCCTGGACCACAAAGACTTTTCATTTTTCGGGACAGCCAATCATATGAGTCAGTTCACCTTAGGCCGCTCACGGATCCTGCGCGAGCCTCCAGTGGGGCTCGAAGGGCGCGCGTATAGAAGACTACACCTCCCAGGAAGCCGTGCGCGTCGCCCCGCCTTCTACTGCCTTTCACTGCGCGTGTGTTGTGCTGTGAGATTCGTGGACCCCTCTGGCCGCGCTCTGGCTGTTTCACCGCGCCCTGGCTGGGACTTGGAGTCCCTTATCTTTCCCTGGTTTGGTACATGACCCGGAAGCCTCGGCTGGCCGCCGCGTCATCCATGGCGCCGGCGCAGAGCGAGAAGGAGGCGGGAACGCAGTGAAGCAAGAGCGGTCAGCAGAGCGGGGAGGCGAACTGCAGCAGAGTTCTTGCTTTCCGGCAGGTGATGGCGCCCCCCGCGGCCTAGAGGTCTAGCGCCCGCCGCGAGCAGCGGACAGTCCTGTTGTGTCCGACCGAGAGTCCTGGTGACTTTGAACATGCTGGTGCCGCTAGCCAAGCTGTCCTGCCCCGGTGAGAGGGAATGGGCGGTGGGGTTAAGTGGAGGAGTTAGGGCAAAAGGGACAAGGCCGGTCCTGGGGGCTGTAGGCACCTCTCGCGCCTTCTCTCATCAGCTTTCTCAGGCTATCTAGGGCAAAGGTCACGCTCTGTCAGCTTGATAGTGGACCCTGGCTTCTTCCCTCCGGTTGCCCCAGTTGGAAGAATTAATATCTAGGCTAAAGGTCAAGGGCGGGGAAAACTTGTCAACACGTCCTCCGCACCACCACCACCTGTCAGCACACACCTACCTCGGTGGACTCCTGAATCCTGAATCCTGGTTCTAATCCTCAAACCTTTGTTGGAAATGGAAAAAAAAAAATCGTAATTGCCCAATTTTTCTCCCTGTCCTGACCTGACTTTCGTCTTCGCAGCCGTCCTAGTTCAGTCTAAAGAAATTGAAGTCTGATCTGTCACATCATGGTTGACATTCATATGTTGACCAAGTCTCCTGAGTGTATCTGGAACCAGGAGTTTTTCTGCGTTGTCTAAAATTAACTTTAAGGGCTGGGCGCGGTGGCTCACGCCTGTAATCCCAGGACTCTGGGAAGCCGAGGCGGGTGGATCACCTGAGGTCAGGAGTTCTAGACCAGCCTGGCCAACATTTTGAAACCCCATCTCTACTAAAAATACAACAATTAGCTGGGCGTGGTGGCCCACGCCTGTAATCCCAGCTACTCTGGAGGCTTAGGTAGGAGAATCACTTGAACCTGGAGGTGAATGTTGCAGTGAGCCGAGATCGCACTACTGCACTGCAGCCTGGGTGACAGAGCCAGACTCCGTCTCAAAAAAATAAAATACAATTAACTCTAAGGGCCTTATCGTGTTATGGGTATTCTTTGAACCATCATGACAGATGAAGTTGGATGGTTTTTTTAAAGTTTTACTTAAATTTTTGTTGTTGTCGTTAATTCAAACAGAAAAGTTCCCTAAAGGATCTCATATTCTGTCATAACTGGCTTTATTTTTTTAAAATCTTTAGTTTACTTAAGTTTTGGTGGTAGAATAAGTATAAATATTAAAAATTCAAGGATATTCTTATGAAATTTCATGAAAGTAGAATTTTGTTAAATTTGGCTTCCATATATTAAGAAATTAGAACTTTGTTTAAATTTCATGTCGCCCATGCATTTTTTGCTGCACTTAATGTATGGATAAGATGGTGTTTGGAACATTAGTCAGGTGCTATCTGCTTTAGAGCCTAATGTAGGTGCAATCAGCCTTGAGCCCAGTGCTAACCAAATTCCACTACCATTTCTGTTTTCTTTGGATGGCAATTCATTGCCATTTTCATAGCCTGCTGGCATGAAAGAGGTAGACACCAATGTGCCAGCAGTGTGACTTTGATATGGTGATGCTATGAGTTCAGTGGACTTTGTGACCTCTCTTCTCAACCAAGGAGACTGAATATTTAAATCTCTAAAGTGAGATAACAGATGTGTTTTCAGAAAAGGGGTAAAGATTGTGACTTTTTTTTCCAATCCTTTGGAGAAATTCAGACTACACAGTTCCAAATATTCTCAAGAAAATCAGTAGCTATACAGGCAGTAGAAATACAGTTTGTCATATGTCAATCATCAGTTTTCAGAAGTAAATAACTTCTATACACTAAACTACAATGCATTGAAAACTATTTTAAATACTCATTGTAGTGTATTTGAACTCTTGAACTGAGTTCTAGAATATCTTTATGTATTTAATATACTTTTTTTTTCAAAACTTAGGATAGGTGAATAGTTATCTAAGGCTTAAAAAGTGTTCCCAATATATAGTTTTTTTGTTTTTTTATTTTTTGATACAGTCTTGCTCTGTTGCTCAGGCTGGAGTGCAGTGATGTAATCTCAGCTCACTGCAACCTCTGCCTCCCGGGTTCAAGTGATTCTCATGCCTGAGCCTCCCTAGTACCTGGGATCAGAAGCGCCTACCACCATGCCTGGCTAATTTTTGTATTTTTAGTAGAGACGGGATTTTGCCATATTGGCCAGGCTGGTCTCAAATTCCCGGCCCCAAGTGATCCTCCTAACTCAGCCTCCCAAATGCTGGGATTATAGGCATGAGCCACCACGTCTGGCCCCAATGCTATAGTTTTTAGTATGCATAAGTAAATTCATTTCTTTGCCACTTTTTAAAAAGATGACCAAACAGATTTTTATTGTCTAGAATATTTGCCTTTTCACAGAAAATGACTCTGAAAAGCATTAATCTTTTATAGTACCATGTGTCAATCATAAATGAATGCTCTAGTGAAGGAAAGTACAAAAACGACTATCTAATATTTAGTCAACAAATATGTATACCTAACATTAGGTTTTCACATACAACAAGGTCAATGCTTTTGGAGCGTGCTATCTGCTGGAGAATACAGACAACTAAAGACATTTATGTTTTTACCCTTTTTTGGTCACATAAATGGTTTAAATTTTTAGTCTAGTGATATTATAACTTTTTAGATTTTTATCATTCTTAGAAAATAACTTTGAAAATCCTAGATTCGAAAAAAAAAATTACCTGTTTTCTTCATAACATTTTTGTGTGTGGCTATAAATGTTCTTTTTTATAACAGCTTTAATAAACTTTAATAAGATATGTCACAAACCATACAATATATACTATTTAAAGTGTACAATTCAGTGGTTTTTTAGTATAGTCAGAGTTGTGTAACCATCACTGCAGTCTATTTTAGAACATTTTCATCACCCCAAAAAGAAACTCTGTATTCACTCCCAAGCCCCTTCCAGCCTTAGACAACAGTTAATCTACTTTCTGTCTCTATAGACTACCTTATTCTGAATATTTCGTATACATGGAAGCACATACTATGCTGTCTTTTTGTGACTGGCTTCCTTCACATAACATTTTGTTTTCAGAGTTCTTCTACGTGGTAGCATATATCAGTATTCAATTTCTTCTTATTGCTAAATATTTCATTATTTGGATATATCACTTCTTACCATTTATTGATCGACATTTGGGTTGTTTCTACTTTTGGACTGTTATAAATAATTCAGCTATTGGCCAGCTGTGGTGGCTCACACCTGTAATCCCAGCAGTTTGGGAGGCTGAGACAGGCAGATTGCTCAAGCCTAGGATTTCGAGACTAGCCTACACAACGCAGTGAGACTGCTTGTCTACAAAAAAATAGAAACTATTAGCCGGGCATGGTGGCATGCACCTGTAGCCCTAGCTACTCAGGAGGCTGAGGTGGGAGGATCACTTAAGCCTGGAAAGTCAAGGCTTCAGTAAGCCATGATCACATCACTGCATTCCACCCTTGGTGACAGAGTGAGACCCTGTCTCAAAAAAAAAAAGAAAAAGAAAAAGTTCAGCTAGGAACGTTCATGTGCAAGTTTTTGTGTGGAAGTATGTTTTCATTATCTTAGGGATAGACTTAGGAATGGGTCATATGAAAACTCCATGTTTAACCTTTTGAGGAACTGCCAGACTGTTTTTCAAAGAGACTGCATCATTTTTACATTCCCCCAGGAGTATATGAGGGTTCCAGTTCTTCCACATCCTTGCTAACTCTTGTTATTGAAACTGCCCAAGGGGTTCTCCTTGCCCACTACCCAGACAGAGCCAATTTATCAAAACAGGATAATTAGAATAGAGAAGGAGTTTAATTCACACAGAGGCGGCTGTACAAGAGACCATAGTTTTATTATTACTCAAATCAGTCTCCCCGAAAACTTGGAGACTGGGGATTTTAAGGATAATTTGATGAGTAGAGGGGGTCAGAAAATGGGGAATGCCAATTGGTCAGATCAGAGATGAAATCATAGGGAGATGAGTTTGTCCTCTTGCACTGAGTCAGTTCCGGAGTGGGAGCCACACGACCAGATGAGCCAGTTCATTGATCTGGGTGGTGCCAGCTGATCCATCAAGTGCAGGATCTGCAAAATATCTCAAGTAGTGATCCTAGATTTTAAAATAGTGATGTTATTGCCGGGAACACTTTGGGAAGGTTCAGAATCTTGGCACCTCCAGCTGCATGACTCTTAAACCATAATTTCTAATCTTGTAGCTAATTTGTTAGTCCTGCAAAGACAGTCTGGTCCCCAGGAAGGAAGGGGGTTTGTCCTGGGAAAGGGCTGTGATTGTCTTTGTTTCACAATTAAACTATAAACTCCCAAAGTTAATTCAGCCTACTCCCAGGAATGAACAAGGACTACTTGGAGGTTAGAAGCAAGATGGAGTCAGTTAGGTCAGATCTCTTTCACTGTAATAATTTTATCTGTTATAAGTTTTGCAAAGGTGGTTTTATTATTACTTGTCTTCTTGACTATAGCCATGCTAGTGGATATAAAGTAGTATCTCATGTGGCTTTGGTTTGCATTTCCTTGATGGCGAATGCTGCTGAGCGTCTTTTCATGTACTTATTGGCCATTTGTATATCATCTTTGAACAAGTGTCTATTCAGATCCTTTGCCCACTTTTTAATTGGGTTATTTGTCTTTTTATTACTAAGTATAGGAGTTCTTTATATATTCTAAATATAAGTCCATTATCAGATATATGATTTGAAAATATTTTCTCCCATTCCATGGGCTATCTTTTCACTTTCTTGATGGTGTCCTTTGGCGCACAACAGGTTTTAATTTTGATGAAGTGCAGTTTAACTGTATTTTTTGTTGTTGCTTGTGTTTTTGGTTGTTCTATCAAAGAAACCATTGCCTAGCCCAAGTGTTGATGAAAAAGCCAAACTCCGTAAACTATTTGGAGATATTAATTCTGAGCCAAATG